ACTTGGAGACAATTCTTCTTTCAAAATCCTCCAAATAGGTTTTTTTCCTAAAGGATGAGAACAGTGCTTGAAAGTAATGGAATGACTTTAAAAATAAGGGCAGTTAAGTTCTTTTTAAAAGTTTACAAATCAATTATGAGGGAAAAACAAATCTGTTTTGGCTACTCACAATTGAAAATCCAGTTCCCAGTATCCCTACAATAATGATCAAGTTATATTGCATCTGTCAACTTCAATATGTTCAGAGTGATCTCTCTATGACTATTTAATACTTAAAATAGCCCAATTGTGCAGTTTTACTTACATTTTCTCAAATCTCTAATTCATCCTGTGCAGAATTAGTCTCTATGTGGTAACTGGTAGTAATTATTCACAAGAAAAGGATTAGACATATGATGATTATAGTTATAATAGCCAGACTGCTCATACTCCAGGTTGTTAAAGCTAAATTCTTTAATACAGGGCCCTCTAGTGGTATTATTTGTTTATAGGATCTTTCACATAAATGAATGATCCAAGTAACAGGTTATGTTATTCTGATTACTTTTAGCTCTTGTCACAGTCAAATCCCAGTCCTGGGTCAAATTGCAATCTAATGCATTTCTTTTTATTTTCTAGAGTATCTAATATAAAATTACCATTTACTTGGTGTTCTTTCGAGTTTAAGTTGCAAATTAGCCATTAACCATTTTGACTATGTTTGTACTCTGTAGATCAGTGATTCTCAACATTTTCATATTCAGGGCACCCCTCCACCACTTTTTTGAATGTAGCAGATACCCCAGTTGAGACCCACTGTTGTGTTCAAATTACTGCAGTGGTTCTCAACTGGGGAATACTGCTACCACAGCCAAGATTACCCTGGACAGTACAGGAGGGGAGAAGGACAAGGCAGAACTAGAAGGGAAACTGTCACTGGCATATCCAGGAAACGCTAGAATTCAACAAGCTTTGCATGCAGCAGATATGTAGTCTGGATGAGGTATCCCCTAAGTGCATAAAGCCACAGGCCCCAGAAGCAATAGGCAATTTTTCACGATCATGTGGACTGTCTGTTAGCTGTAAGATGCTTTTGCATAGGATCTGGAACCTGCCCTGAGGGCCTTAAAACCTGGCTGACAAAGAATCCAGGATAGCTCCAAAGAACCCAAATCTCTGCATTGAAACAAAGTTAAATTTATAGTTACTTACCCTCAATCTTGGGTCCAGAAGGCAGCAAAGGAGCCATAGTTTCCAGATCCTTCTGGAAAGATCTTCACTAGACAGTTATGTAGGCATGGAACTTAAGTAGATGGCTTCTAGGGCTGTGCTAAGCTTTGGGTGTTGATTCAATTCGGAGGAGATTCGGCCCAATTCGGCGGGTGAGTCTCCAAATCCGAATTGAATCAGGAGACCAGTAAAAAGGTCTGACTTGGTTTGAAGCCTCCAAATCGATTTGCAAAAGATTCAGAGATTCGAGCAGCCCCCGCTCACCGCCGCCACAGGGAGCTGGACCTGGACTCAGTGCTGATACGTAGAGGGCAGGGGGGAAGGAAACTGGGGGGGGAGGGGACCATGGGGACCCCTGCCAGGCCCCATCCCTTGCCTGCTCCCTCAGCCCCCATCAATGGCTGTCCTGCCTGGCCCCAGCATCCTGGCACTTTAAAAAAATAATAATAATAAAGCCCCACACTCACTGGCTGCTGCAGCGGTTGTCGGGGCCTCTAAGGGCTCGTGGCAGAGCCCCCCACTCAGCCCAGGGTAGTGGGGGGCAGCAGGGACTGGCCCCCATCTGGGAGTGTGGGACTTTTTTTTTTCTTCCTTTCTTTCTTTCTAATTTTTTTTAAAAGAGCCAGGACACTGGGGCTGGGAGAGCAGGTGGGGGATGGGGCCTGTTCAATTTGGAGATTCGGCCAATTTGGCAGTGGCCGAATCTTCTAGTCAGATTCAGCTGATTCGATTCAGGACAGCGATTCGAAACACTAAATTGAATCACTGTCCCCTGAATCGGCCGAATCCAAATCCAAAGTGAATACTAGCTGCTTTGCAGAGAGAGGCCTAATGGCTACCACCAAAAGGACTTGGCTGCCAACTTAGGGATGCTGTTAACTGGCCAGACAGCAAGCAGGACCTTGCACCAGTAATGACTTTGCCCTACCATAAATCTAAAGCATTTCCTTACTGTAAGTACAAAAGAAATATGGAAGAGAAGCACAAACCTGCTTGTTGACTCCAGGGAGGCAAGTATGAAGGCTAGGGTCACCATGTTGAATGTAATTTTGCAGATAATCAAGTTGAGCTTCCTCAGATCTAAAATGGGTCAACCATCTTCCTTTTCTCCATGAGATTAGGAAATACTGGTAGCTGCTTTTTCCCACAGCCTGTGCCACATAGCCTTCCATCATGTCTGGAGATGTTTTATGAGTTAAGGCAGTGAGTCTCTCATATATCCAAAATCATGGCTCACCAGAACAACATGGTAGTTTACTACACTGATTTGGAGGACCCAAAAGAATATGTTTTTCTCTTAGTACGTCTAGCTCCCTAGATCTCTTGTATTTCAATGCTTTTATCCTCACTAGTTTTTTCATTTGCTACTGACATGACCAAATAGAAAGGAGTCAAATGAGTAAAAAAATATTATGCCTCTCTAACTGAACTTTGGAGAGAGAGACTACGCATGCATTGGCTATATACACTTTAAGATATTTCTGAATTTTCTTTCTTTTCGCATCGGTAAATCTTCTACCAATATGCTAGGTCAATACTGTAGTAGGTTTTGGCCCTTTTCTGTTGCTTCAGTCCTTTTGGGTTGGATTTTGGTCATGGAAGACACTTTTCTACACAGTATAAAATTCAGAAAGGGGGAAAAAATCTTTTTGACTTTCATGTAGTGCTTGTACATGGCCAGATTCTGAAGGATTCCCTTTTTTGGGTAGAGGGCTGGAGTTAGAAGCCAGAATTCAGGGAACTGGACTCAAGAAAAGTCCCTAAGGGAATTAGCATAGACGTTACACAGGCAGTCTCAGCCTGCAACAACCAATCATCAGCTCCTTCTCTGTCCAAAAAAATTAGCAAAATCAGTGTTTGAAATGGAGCACCACCAAATTCAGACCAGCTCCATACAAGTGCCATGAGTCTGAAAAGGTTCAGAACCCACAGAATTCCACTGTTGTCAACTGTCCTTTTGATATAAAAAAGAAAAAACTTGATGAGACTGAGGTTGAATCTCATGTGCATTAGTAAAATCCAAAGCAATTCCATTGGCAATAATGGATTTTTTTTTTCTGGCTCAACACTTAAATACATCCATTTTAATTCAACCCTTTATATTGAAGTGCAGAAGAATTCATTTTTAAACTTGAAAACAAATACTCATCTGTAAGTGCGTTAAAGGGATAATTATGTACCAGCAATTTTTTGTCGGTCTTCTCACACCCTAGGGAAACCAGTAAAGACAACTGGCATTATGGTTACCATTAGCTGAAAGCAGAGACAAACAATTCAAGGAAGAACGCTGCATACACAAGGCCCAGACAGTCTTTCCTCTCTTTAGTTAGGTATTTCCAAAGTCAAATGTGCAGAGCAAAAAAAGGAGAAGTGCGTGGAACTCCTTTATGAATGGAAGAAGGCATGGAGACAGGATATGATTAGCAAGCAAGAAAGAAAAAGCATATCATTTAAAAGTAATACCCAATCATCAAAGATCAATATAACCAATGCTTACTGTTCAGCATAGTAAAACTTAGTAAAGTGTTTGGTATCGGAGTATGTTAATATTATGTTAATATTATGTTCTAGTTTATTTATGTTATGACAATTTGCCACTTTACACATAAGAAACATGCTACCCAGTACTCAGTAAGATGCATGCACCTTATGTACAAACTGCGTAATTCGTTATACGATTAAAGAAATAAATTATGACTTTTCAATAGAGATCAGCACACAGGATCTAAAAAGGGGCTGGACTGCACTATCTGGAAATGTATGCAAACCCAGTATAGGACAAACCAGGGCTCCCACCTCTTCCCCTCAGCACACTTGCAGTTGTGTCAGTGGCCCCTTCTCTGATCCCAAAGAAGCAGTGCTGTGAGGTCCTGTTCCCTCTCCCAGATCAGAAGCAGGGATAGTAACTGGGGCTCTCTCTCCATATATCCCATAGTACAGGGGTGGCCAACCTGTGTCATGCATGCCACAAGTGGCATGGGCAACCTGTGTACCATGTGGCAGGCTAGCGAGGGAAGAGTGCACAGCAGGAGATAGGGAAGGAAGCAGAAAGCAAAGGAGCAGGTCAGGCAGAGGAAGAGGATCAGAGTGACACTTGGGGAGGGTGTAGAGCTAATTTGTGGCATGCCTGTCACTACTGCAGCAGAGAAGCCATATCTACTTCAGCAGGTGTGCATGTCAGGCCTATTACACTCTGCTGCTGCCACCATACGCAGAATCCCCTGTTAGGGTAGTGAAGGTGGGCACCACTCAGTACAACAGATCTTGGAGTTAAACACTCTGTGGAAATGCCTGGACCTTTTCACACCCTTCAGTGCTATTTTCTCTGGCTGTGTACTTAAAATATGGGCATCACTGGTTACTGTTGGTACTGTAACTGTACCAATTACCTTCAGTGCCCTTTCTCAAGCTTTTAATACACTTCGTAGTTGGAAGGAAAAGTTTTTAATACAAAGTTTAGACATTAGACATTTAGTCTAATGTCGCCGGTGTTCAGGCGAAGCGGCTCCCTCCCCTACCCGCATGACCCCCCTCCGTTGGAGACGAGGCCCTTCCTCCTGCCCCGCGGAGGAGGAGGGCTGGCCGACCCCGTGCCCGCGCGAGTCCGAGCCGCCCTGGGAGCCCCTCCCAGCGGTCTGACTTCGCCGAGAGACGCCGGTGAGAGTCTAGACATTAGACATTAGTTTATTACATCAGAATACAAGACCTGGAGAGCCCTACGGAGTTGTATTGTCCATGCCTTAATCTGACCTTGAGCAAAAATAATGAAAATAAAAGGTACCAACAACTTCTTTGCTGCAATATATATTTTAATTCAAAGTGAATCTCGACAGTAATACACCATAAATTCTTATTTTGACACTCACCAAAATAGTCACCTGGAAAACCCGCTTTTTGTGACAAAGTACAGAAGGCTTGGTCACATTTAAATCACTGAGAACTAGAGAGAAATACTATCGCAAACTGTAAGAGACATTACATCCATAAAAATTTTTCCCAGTCCTCATATTGTAATATTGCACAGTGCAATTGCTACATGGCAAACTAGTGTAGCTTAGAAATCAAAAGCAAAAAAAAAGCCACAAATCTACAAATCATTAAACAGAAACAGTTCAAACTTAATAATCAAGTCTATATCATTGGGTATTTCTAAAACAAACCTTCCTACAGCTTGCAGTGTGATTTAACTTTTACTTAACACAAACCAAGTTAAAATTAGCAGTAAGTACAGAAACTTTAAAAATTAATCCAAAAAAATGTAAATACAGTAGCATAATTGATTAATAAAACACCCTGAATTAAAGTTAAAACAGAATACAAGGAATTCATATAAAAATAATTTGCAAATTAAAGTAGTATGCAAGTATGCACCTCCGTACTCATGCAGTGTTTTATTTAAAAGGCATTAAAACAATAAAATGTATAAATGCTCCTTTGCTGGGTACCTTTTCAGCAATCCTGAAAACATTTCTAGACAGATGGCCCCAGGCACCCACACAAAGTCACAGTAACATCAACTGGGCTCTTCACAGATGCAAGAGTCCCCTTTCTTAGAGCATACTGTAGGATCTGGGCCACTTGTCATTACTCTGAATTTAGTTGTGGTAGAATCTTAAATGCTTTGTTCTCTGAAATGCAAATACATTTCTAATAATACAGTATATCAGAGCAGCAGGCTTAATTTGGGGCACACTACAGCAATTTTTTTTGTGTGTTATAATATTGTGGCATACAGGTAAATGTTTCAATTTAACAAGCACATTAGCTTTTCCTCCTAAGCACAGGGAAAGAAAATGAAATGCATTACAGCAATGACGATTGCAATGGCCCCAAACAGAGATAACACAATATTGTTTGTTATCATGATACACAAGTCAATTAATCCTTTTGTGCTGGTGGTTCCTGGTGCATCCATTGCCTGCAATGAATTGAGCACCAAGAAAACTCAATTCCCAACACCAAGAAATTAACATAAGACAGGATCTGTTGGACCATATAGTAAAAGTCTGAAGTGTTAATGTGTATGTCCAATTTACTTAAGTATTTTCTTGACTCAATATACTTAGGCTTTATATAAGATTTCAAATTAATCAGGCTACCCTTAATTTCTAGTGGATACTTTGTATATACATTTATACTTATATAAAATGCATAGAGTTGATTCCTAAAAACACTGAAATTTGTGGGAATAACTAGGTTTCTTCATTTTCAGTGTGATTAAAAATGTACTGCTGGTATTGGTTTTATGATCTAATACTGTTGGATTTCAGCTTTTATTATTTAAAAAGTAAATCAAATGTAGGCACATTTATTTCACTCAGACATTCATTAAATAAAACACTGCTTGCATTAGTGTAGTAAAGAAAAAGCCTACCAGTTATTAGCTTATTGACAGAGTTAAATTCAAATGCTTTGCACTCTTGTTCCAGTCGATGCTGCAGAGATTGTATTCCAGATTTTTTGTTTAAAAAAAAGTTAAGTCAAGCCTGCAAGATACAGCTTCTTAAGTGTCTACACAATGCCATTATGAAAACATAAAAAATTAAGTTACATTGATACATCCACTTATATGCAGTGATGAGCTCAGAGTTAATGGAGATAAAATACTGATGCAAATAACACACCCCAAAATAACATATGCAGTTATCTTCCATCATTTACAATATAGTAGTTACGACACTCCAAATATGAAAGCAAAACAAAAATCAAAACCCCAGCTTCTATTTCATGTAATTAGACGTATACAGAAATTAGAAGACTAAGAAAGAACTAGTTAATCACCTAATTTCACAGCTATCTGAAGTGGCAATCATTATATAGCAGCTTATCTATGATACATTCAAGATAAATGATACAATTTATTACTTGCCCATAAGCTAAAACACAGCCTCAGTTTAATACCTTCTTCAAATCCCATCTCTACACTACAGTATACTTGAGGTCTATGAAAAAAGTAGCTACCTTTTATAGGAAATGGATGATTAAGTCTTTGGTGCTGCAAAAGCAACTTCATTTGAACAAAACAAAAAACAAAAAAGACACACTTTCTAGAAAAAAAACGCAAAAAGCATGTAATTTACGTCCCTGACGGAATGTATTAAATAAGCAAACACCCCCAAACAGGCTAAAACAAATGCTATAATGTAAAAAGGCTAAAATCTCTCCCATGCATAAATGAAAATTGCACACAAAGAACTCGCATCTTTTCAAGCTTCAATAGTAAATATTCTGCTACTATTAAATACTGCATGGTTTGCTCAAGCTAAGATGAAACCACATCATGAATCAATGAGCATTTTGCTTTTTTCTTTCAAAATCTAGTCAAAGTCATGCCTACTACACCTCTAAACAAGTTATTAAATCCAATTAGACAAAAACACTTTGAAAATAAACTACTTAGATTGTATTGCAGTTCCATTTAACAGTATAAAATACTGTATTGTGTCTGTCACACTCAATAGCTACTGAATCAACTTCTCTTAAGCACTACTAAATTCTTCTCTTGAAGCTAGATCATTCTGAAAAATAAGACAGCAGAATTCAGCTACAGCAAAACATGCTGCCCTTTTGATAAGGAAAAACACCCAATACTAAAATCATACCACACAAAACCCAAAATGAGCATTACTCTATCAAAAAAAAATCAGCAGATCTGAATTTTAAGTGCTGCAGTCCTCAACATTTATATATAAGTAATAACATTAACAACCTCAAATATTTAAGGCACTATGTGTGGAAACGGTTTACAATGCAGCTGAGATTATTAGAACAACATTTAAGAGCAATGTTTAGGCAATTTGTTTTTGCCCATGCAAAAGACACATGCAATGTGAAGAACAACAGCTCAACTTTTTAGATAAGTGACTCAACATTTAAACACCAAGATACATAATACAAACAATTTACTTGTACACTGTACTGCTGACATATGTGCATCTGTTGCTCTAGATCTGTACACTGAATGGCTTCCCAAATGTAGACGTGTCTTGCACTAGTTAGAAGGCAATTTTATAAAAAATAGCAGGAGCAAAACCAGATTTCTGCTCCCACAATTCACCTGTCTAGAGTTACTATATAAGAAGATAACATGACCAAAGACAAGTTATACCAAATGTGCAAAACACATTAAAAGTGAGATTTTTTAAAGCTCAAGGTTGTTTAAATTGCACCCAAGTCTACATGATTCAAAAAATAATTTTCTTGTTGTGCCATGGCTAATATTTATTAAATACCATGTTTCTTCTCAAATCAAATGTTTGTATCATTGAGCTTCCTCAACATACTGTACTTGAATTCTCACATAAACGGATACTGGCTGAGTTTTGTTGGACTCAATGGAAATCCTGTATAAGCAGGTGATGCTGCAAAGTAAGAATGTGGTGGGAAAATTGGTTTGTATTGAGTCTGATGAATGGTTGGGGAAGGTAAAAGACGAGGATTTATGCCCACTGGGACTTGGTGAACTATGCCACTGGGATGAGATATACTGTACGTTGGATGCTGTAGTATAGGTCTTGAGGTACATGGTGAGGCTAAAAGGTGGGCTACAGGTGCAGCAGTACTAAGTGGTGCAGTTGGTGGATACGGAAGAATAGCAGGCTGTCCTCCAAGGTGTGTACTTCCAGATAAATGCGCATGCACTGTAGTGTGATTTGGACTTCCATGTGGAAGGGAAAATGGATGACTGGCAACACTAGCTGGGATGTATGCCTGCTGTCTTCGATGACCATAGTTTCCATTCCACTCTTGAGGCCCAGATCCAAAGTGCTGAACCTGTTCACACACAGAAATATTTTAATGTTACTATTTGAGTATAAAGACCGTATGGGCTCATAATCTGGGGAAATGGGTTAAAATTAATAGACTAAAAATCAAGAAAATTATAAAATAGGAGAAATCAAATGCACAAACGAAAGGGGAAAATACCAGCTATTTGAACAGTTCCACAGTTGGAAAATTTGAAGGTTACGAGAGATGCAAAGCACCAGAACAAAACTTATGGTAATGCTCTTGCAAATAAAAGTAAAAATGCCACACTGGGCTGGTTTAATAGAAATATCATACTTCACATGAGCAAGAGCCAACACTGGCATGGCATCAATTGGAGTGCTGCATTCAGTTTGGGCACCATAACAAGATGCAAAGAGAACAAACAGGAAAGACATTTTAGAGGGAAAAATAAGTGGCTTGGAAAAATATCTATGAGAGAGAACTAAGCAAACTGAAGTTGAAAGTAACAACCATATGAAAACATCATAATAGTTTACAACCTGTAGAGCAGGGATGGGCAAAACACAGCCCACGGGCCAGACCTAGCCCACCAACTGATTGTATCCAGTCCACAGGCCAGCAGTCACAAAGTCATGAGATCTGGCCTGCAGGGAGCCAGCAGCTCCAGCTGCTGGGTCATGCTGGGCATGTCCTGGCCCTTATTGCAGCTTATACCAGTTCCCGCCCTACACACTGCAAACAGTGCCAGGTGGGCACTTGGCATCAGCTGCGGATGTAGCCAGTGGATTGAGGGTGGAGATCAGGGTATTTACCTGGGTCTGCAGCTGAGGCTGCTGCATCAGCAACATCAGCTGCAGTCCCAGGCAGTCACTCCTTCTCCCACTGGGAGATTTCTGGCAGCATCCACAGCTGTGTATCACACCGCCTGGTGCTACTTCCAGCATGCAGGGCAGGAGCTGGTGTAAGCAGCAGAAGGGGTCAGGACACTATGGATCAGGGCTTGCTGTAGTTGCGAGGATGGTCTGGGTTGTTGGGGGGGGGGGGGGGGGAGGGGGGGGGGGGGGTGAGTAGAGGAAGAGGAGCGTGCTGTAGCTGTGGGGATGGACCCAGGGCAAAGCCATGATCCGCTCACTGAGTGCCTGCAGAACTGGCACCCGTCCCAGGGGCACAACACAAGTGGATCACAGCTCTGTTCTACACTCGGGCAGGATGGGGCCAGGGCTGGGATCTGGGGGAGTGGCATTTGGGAGTGGGATGGGTAGGCAGGGCCAGGATCGCAAGGTGGCAACAGTGCAGTCCCATGATCCTAGCCCTGGCCCTGTCCGCCCATCCCACTGGGCACACCCCTGCGATAGGTGCCAGTTCTGAGGGCAAAGGTATGCAAAGAGCAGATTGCCCTGGACCCTGGCCCCGGCCTGTCACCACCCTGCAATCCTGGGGTATCCATGGAGTCTGGCTCAGACCCGCCCAGGCAGGGTGTGGGCCCAGGTGGAGGGAATGAGGCTGCTTAGGGAGTTTTGATAAGCTGCTGCAGGGCGGTGTGCTGACCCGGTCCATGACAGCTCACCAAAACTCCTTATGTGGCCCACAGGCCCAAATAATTGCCCACCCCTGCTGTAGGTCAACACACTAATATTCAGTTAAATCTCATTAAAATGATCTGGAGAAAACAAGCAGTAATGGGTTTCAGCCACAGAAACAAAAATAATAAAAATGTCTACAACTACAATAAAATTAAACGGTGAAACTATGTCAAGAGAGATGAGAAATTGCGATTTTTGGGAGTGGCAAAAGTTCGAGTCTGATCCTATCAGGGCTTGCACAGAATTAAATCTGTCCCTTCATGAAGATGCACAAGAATGAAACATGTGACCTACTGCCAATGTTCCCTCTAAGGAGTAGTGGTCCATGAGCGCCCTGCTTCAGTCTGTGAGTACACCACTTTGGTCCTGCCTCCCCCTTTCGGTTCGGCATGGGACACTTACAAAAGGTAAGTTCCTCACTTTTCACCCCCAGGGCAGGCAGTGGGGCCTTGGGGGCTGGAGGGGCAGGAGCCTGGGGGGCTGGAGCTGAAGGCTGGGGGGCTGGGGCCTGAGCCTACCTGCCCCAAGCAAGGCTCCACTAGGGGCTGGAGGCTGGCAGGGGCTCCCGGAAACTGCTCCGCCCCCCTGCATTGCCTCAGGGAGTGAGGAGGCACGTGGCATCAGGGCTGGGGAGTGGACCACTTCTCGGAGCCCGCGGAGCAGTTCCCCAGGGCCAGCAGAGCCCACACCAGCCCCTGCCTCAGCCTCCATCCCTGCTTTGCCTCACCTCAGGGTGGAGCCGCTGCCTGCCCCGAGTGAGGCTCCTCTGACTCCACAGGCTTCACCAGCTCCAGGAAGTGCTACACTCCCCGGCCCTGAATCCACGTGCGTCCTTGCTCCCCTTGGCAACGTGGGGGAGCGGAGCAGTTCCCCAGAGCCGGTGGAGCCCACGCCAGCCCCCGCCTCCGCCTAGGGGAGGAGCTTACCTTTACTAAGTGTCCCACACTGCAACCCAGCTCCATTCCCAGCAGGTGCGCAGCCTGAAAAAGTTTGTGCACGGCCAAACTTTTACTCGTGCGCAGCCATGCACGCGCATACCTTAGAGGGAACTCTGCCTAGGATGTTTTTTTCAAATCTGAACTACCCTAAGCAATCAGTAAAAAGACCCTTACTTGTATATAGCAAGCTTACATTTTGCCTTAATATTTACTGCTATTCTATAAAGAAGAAAAACCATGCAGGGTTTTGTTGTGTCCTACTACCCTAGATGCCTAGATATTAATAAAAAGGTTAATTTAGATATAGCCCAAAGTACAATGTTTAAAAGCGCTGAAACACAGTAAACAGTTTTCCACTATGAGTTAGGTCCTTGGCCACAGATGTGCCTGATGCAGTGTTGGAGGGTAGTGCTCTAAGTTACATCCAGGTATCCCTGGCCACAAGAGGCCTTTCTGGTAAGTTGATGAACTGCTGGAACAGAAACATACATACACAATCCTTTTTTCTCCAGCCTTGTTCCCTATACTAAGGGAAAACTGCCATGCAACTAAGTATGCATGACCTGCATCATTCTTGGGCTTGCTGAGATGAGAAAAATTTCCACCTAACCAGATCTGCTGTTTCATGTTGCTTTGCACTGCTGGTGAGGGCAAAAAAGGTGGGGAAAAGCCTAAAAATATAGTCCCATGTCTCTAACTCCAGAGTATGCATACTTCAGTATTTGGACGGGGGAAATGGTAAAGTACAGCAAAAGCTCTGTTATCCAGCACCTATGGGAAATGGGGGATGCTGGATAACCAAATATACCAGTTACATGAGAGGCATCTTTGCCTGGTCAGGCCACCACCCCTCCTGCCACATCTGGTGCGCCAGGCTCTCAGTCCCTGGCATCAGTGTGCTGGGTGACAGGGAGGAGGGCCCTGCGCAGGCTGCTTTTCCCCGGGCTCTGGCCCAAAGTGGGACTCGGCGAAATCAGAAGTGGGACTTCCGGTTTTGCTTTTACCGCGTTGACCAGCATGCCGGGTAATAGAGCATGCCGGTTAATGAAGTGTCGGATAACACGGCTTTTACTGTGGATTAGATTTTATGCTAGGCTTTCTACTAACAATTTTTCAATGTTGTTTTTCCATTGCCTTTAAAAAATTCAGCCTGTAAAATGATGGTTAATTCAGGTGTCTATTAAAAGTGAAAGATATGGCTGACCTGTACAGTAAGTCAGAGAAGTCGATGGCCAGGGTTTAAATAGCTCGACAGAACTTGGGCATTCATTTTAACTTAGAGTCTGATTTTCAGAAATGCTGAGAACCCATTTAGCATCTTTAAAATGGTGAGTGTTCTATACATTTAGGAATCAGGCCCTCAGGCTCCATAACAAAACAGCTTTAGGTTATGAATCTCTTACCTGACTGAAGTTTATATGTTGCTGCTGGAATGCTGATGCCAGCTTTTGCTGACGGTTCCCAATAGCAGAAGGCTGGTTTATTTTTCCCAAGGCAGATCGACCTTTTATAAGAGGCTGGCATGGGGCATCTATCAAAATATAAATGGGGCACACTTGCTATTTTGATATTAAGTATTTTTTTAACTGTCCAAAGGCAAACCATCAATTGTTTTAGCTACTAATATCAACAATAGTCATATACTACAAAATAAGAAAACAATGAACTTAAAAAAAATTGAAAGTTAATTTAGGACTGACCATTCAGGTAAAAATACATAATTAAATCAGAAAGGGAAGTGTCTTAATTTTGTGTTTCATACACATAGCCATTGGAAGGACTGCTCAGATTACTACTCTTAGTCATTGATATAGAAGAGAAAACCAACAAAACTAGTTTACCTGTATTTACCATCTGCTCATCTAAATTTAATCTGTTTTCTATTCTCATTGGTGGCACCACAACATTACAGACAGCTGGTTTGGTTTCTGGGTTAACTGAGGCTCTTGTTTCCGTATTTTGATTGGCGTTGTCTACAAAACTGCTTTCTACAAATGGGCTGTCATGTCCTGAACAATCAGAGGCTGGGGAGCCATCCACAGTATCACAGCCACTCTCTTGTTCATCATCTGACATACTATTAAAAACACAAGGTTTGCATTATTGCTTCCATCACATTCAAGATGACAAATTATTTATTCAAAATGTTTAAAAATAAATTCAAAGGCAAAAAAATTACATTTTGATTACACTTAGGGTATAAAGCTAAAATCACATAAGCACAGCCATTACATGGAACTAAAAAGCCCAGAATCACGTTCCTGTCTTAACTGACAATTGTGACAAAGGTTGAAATAAGATTGTCCTTATGCAAATACTTTGTTTTAAAAAAAAAAAAAAAAAATAGCGATTCTTATGGTATGTTGAATATCACTCTTGCCCCAGTTACTCTCCTCAAATCCATATTATTTTTTAGATGGTATCCTCACTGCACACATGCACGTTTATGCATTGCCATCTGACTCAAAGAATAAGGGCCTCCCCATGCTTTGTGCCACAAATAGCAGAGGAGACGCTTGGGGAAAAAAAAAGTCTCCTGCCTGAAGAGCTTTTGAGAGCCTTTATCTGACCTAAAGATAGTCACAGTTAAGCAGAGGAGCACAGGGGGATACTTAGCAATAACTACCAATTATGTGTAGATCAGCTCTGTTTCCAACTTGCTTGTTTTAAAAGATCTTATCCAACAAGAAACATGTCTTGTGCAGAATATTTTCTGCTTAGCTTTAAAAAAATTCCGTTGTAGTTTTTCATACAAAATGCTTGATACTCTTGTGATTGGCACACAACCTTATGTAACATAGCAGAGCAAGGTCAGGGACTTCTAATTAACTAAATGTGAAATTGTGATGTCTGTGATAACTCGCTAAAATTAATGGTTTTGTTTACATATGTGGTTTATGGTCCATCTAAAATCAGTGATATCATAACTATGATAATACCACTAGATACTGAAACCTTATTTCTTCTGCTAGCTGAAACTGGATTTTGGCCATAAGCATTAAATATATATAATTTGTCTTCACACAAGTGGTACATCTACATTTTCATTTGTTAATAAGTGAAGGTTAATGCCCTGGCCAAACTGAGGGTATAGACATTTGTACCAATTGTATAAGGATCAAATTACAATGTATGTTACAGCCATCATTTTAAGGCATACAACAGTAGCAAAATTGTTGCAACTTTAGCTCTGTTTCATTCAGGGTCAAAGCTACAGCACATTAGCTTGCTTGTCCTGCTACAGAAGCCTGAGATCATAACTGTCATATTGTAGTAGCTGGTACACATTCCTCAGTGGCAGCTTCCCTTCCCACAACCTAAGTTAAATGTGCATACTGACAATCTATTGGTTCTTCAACAGAGTTGCAACCACACAATGCATCAAAATTCAGTTCTTGGTTGCTCAAACAGAAAAGAGGTAAAAAGATGCATAGGCTCTTAAACATAATGCCTCCATAAAGTTTTGAAACAACAGACATTACAGAAATATTATCATGGGCAGTGATAAAGCACCACTGTCATTAAGATGTCCTGACATTATAAAATCCAGTCCACACTTGTTTCAGTTATTTGGACTAAAATTTTAGGTCAGGCATCTTCCTCAGGTGTGAGGGGTGGAAGGGTCTTTTTTTGTTTGTCTTTTTTTTGTTGTTTAAATCCCAGCCAAAACAGAAAATAGTTTAAGTCTTTATGAAGATGAGACTAGGGAGAAAACGTTTTGCCCTGATTAAAAAATCCTTTCAGTCTTTTCTTTGGCAAAGATTTTTGGGGTGATATCGTTTATTGGATCAACTGTATAGCTGGGGAAAAGTCAGACAAGCTTTTGAATGCAAAACATTCTTCAGTTCAGACTTCTTACATAATTCCTGGACCCGCACAACTACAACATCACTCTAACCCTCATAATCTTTTTTTTGAACAGGTCTAGTGACCCCACATTTTGGGAGCAGAGAGTTCAGGTCCTCATGAAAATCCATTCGATATCTATCTCCGTCAAACACTGACATCTGCAACTGATGATACTGGGTACTGGCCTTTTAACATATAAACTCACATGCAATGTTATGCTGGGTGGAAGCAGGGGGAGGAAATTAGCCTTATTTGTTTTACAGAACAGAATTTGAATAATGTGCAATAAAGGAGGCCTGGGCCACAATAACCAACGAAGAGACCAATAAGCAAGTGCTCATTAAAATGAGCATGGCTCATCCTGGACACTGAATGAAGTTGTGTTCCTCTAAGAAAAATATGCTGACATCATTAAAGACTTACATGATGTATATGCAATGGGAGACCAAAGCCCAATTGTAGAAGAAATCTTAATTCTGGCATTTTCTATTTTTGAAAGCTTGACTTTGCAAACATAATATTATTCCTTTAATAGAGCTATTTGTTTATATATTATTTATACATTTGTATAAATGCCATTCATTTCAACACTAAGTTCAATGAGATGACCAGGATTTCCCAGAAACAATTAAATTATGTTTGTCCCATGTACATGTACACACACACGACAAACCTTCAATGAAAATATGTGACTAAAATACATACTCATCAGAAATTCCTAAAAGTAGTATTTTTTCTCCAAAACATAATTTAGCCTGTGAAGTAAAGTGTCAATAAGTCTGGAATGGTCATCTACAACTTCCAACACCTTACATTTTCAGGGCTTATACTTTATTTTAACACAAACTGAGGTTTATTGTAACTTGAAAATAATAAAAATTCTTACCTGTTGGGTCTCTTGCAAGGAGATGGACTAGACTGTCCAGAGGAGCTAGTGCTCAAAGTGCTGTCAGGACTGCTTAATGAACACACCCGGTCAATATTCAGAGTACTCTGGCAGGCTTCACAATCTAAGCTACCTTTACATCTGACACAAAGAAAACAAAATTAACACACACACAAATTCTACCTCTCATTCTTCTACTTACAATTAACTTTAAATCAATATAGGCAGATCCTTAACCTGCTGCTTAACACTACAAAGGAAATGGGATTGGGCTCATAACCCAAAAGGTAAAAAGTAAGGATTCTCATTTCTTTCTAGTATTCTATCCATAACATATTTTAAAGCTTCCTGGGGTTTCTTCAGAAACATTGACCTATATTTTCAAACGTGGGAGCTTAAAATAGGACTCCTAAATCCATGTTTATATAAGGGTGGTTAATAAAAGTACTGAAAATTCACAAATGTTTTAAAATCAAAAAGAGAACTGCAAGTATACAGGTGCTTTGAGACCCAGATAACTTATTTTGGTATCTATATATGAATGGGGAAACTTAGGCACCCAGGAAAAAGAAGTAGCTATAGGCCAGACCAAGTGATTCTGAACTGGGGCCCCATGAGATCCTTTGGAGGGTACCCCGACCTGCGAGGCAAGCACTGGCTCCTCCACATGGCAGGTACCCTGTGCCCATCCCAGCATCTGTGCACAATTCTCTGTGGACCCTCTCCACCAGATCTGGGAGCATGGAGGGGAAAACAAGCCGATCTGAAAAGCTCAGACCCCCACCCCCTGGCAGACTCTGTGCTTCTAGCAGCATGCTCCAAGGGGAGGTAACCTTCACAAATTTTGTGCATTTATTTTCAGTTTTTGCACATGCTCACTACTGTACACAAATGGTAAAATGTTCTCTTTACCAAATGTGCTTCCACTCAATTTATACATACAAATGAACTTTTAATATTCCAAATTTAGTTTGCGTGCACAGGTGATGCGCAAATATTTTATGTATAATTCTGTTTCCAAGAGATTAACAGACACTATATGAAAACTTATTTTGAAATAGAAGACAAAAATTTGGGGTGCAATATGCCTGTTTACTATTTTCAGGTTCATAACTTGAACATTTATGGAACACCTCTTAATTCTCAGTCATAAGAAATAAAAGGAAATTCAAACAAATATGATCATTTTTATTTGAGTACCTGTAAATTAAGATGGAAAACTAATTTCTTTCACAGCTCAGTGAGAAAAAAAAATCCTTTTGAGAACCAGGATCGATATCCCATTTTGTTCCTAAATACTCTTTAGTGTAACAAAATAATTTCTGTGGGTAGGTGACTGTGGGTGTGTTTACACGAGACACTAACAGCACAGCAGACTAATTCTACTGTGTATTAGCGGGGCACTAAAAATGTGCTAATGTGCTAGTGCGCAGTAGGATTAGTCTGCTGTGCATTAGCATCACAAAAAGCATGCACTGGCACCAATGTGCAGTAGTGCCGATTACGGCACATTTAGTTAGTACCTGTTATTACAGATACTGAACTAAGTATGCCATAATTAGACTGCATTAATGCACGTGTAGATGTGTCCAGTGTATGCATATATGTATTCATAAATGAACATGGTAATGTTAGAGCTAGCTTTCACATTTGCTTAATTTACTTCATGTACAAAAATAAATAAAACTACTCTGAGCTAATATTTAATGGTATAAATATACAAATAAATAACATATAAAAACCAATAAATTAAGAAAGCTTTTTTAAATCCATAAATATACCACACAGCTGTAGTTTATTTCAAAGCAACTAATCTGTTGTAAAAACAATGCTCAAATTTGGTCTGTTACAATGCACAGCTCACGCTGGTTTCTAGAGCAGAATTTCAGAAGCAAGCCATCACATCCCAAGAAGATACTGCTGCAGAGTAACTTTTACAAAATTTCAGGTGAAAGTACACAATCATCCCTTTATTTTTAAAATCAAAATACTGACTACATATAGAAGCTGCACAGTTTTCTTTTCAATGCATATCCCTTATTACAAATAATAATTTAATGAACCTATACATATAGTCATAAACTCTTACTCTCTTAGTGAATGTCTTTGTCCTGTGTCTTCTTCATCTGTGTCACTACTGATGGTTATCACACTGACTGCTGGACTCGGGGAATCTGCAATGATGATAGCCTGGCGCTGTTTGTTTGAAATAGATGAATCAGGGTCCTGCCTGACAGATGTTTCACAACAGTTCCTTTCCTGTCCTTCTGAGTTATGATTGTCCTGTGCTTCTATACAACTTACTCTCTTGACAGCCTTCACATTAATTATCTTTGGAGATATAAATGCTGAATTTTGAATATTGGTATTTTGTAATGCATTACTCCTGTGAAGAAGACATCTCATTAGACTTTTTGTGAAAACTCTGCATGAATGCCGAAAACTTAACCCTACTCTTCTTTCTCCCAATTTAAAAAAAGCAAACTAAAGCATCCACTTCATACATCAATGAAAGTAAGAAGTAGAACATAGCAGTGTGCATACACGTAAATACATTGTATGTACATTATTTTGGAAAGATCACTGTAAATCTTCCAGAGAACTAGTGCAAATCGCAAACAGGGCTGTTTTGGATGCTGCAACTTAAGGTCCAAGGCCGAGTTTCTTTAATGAAACGTAATACAGTATGTTGAAAGCACTATTTTCTTATTAATAAAAGGAAGAGTGAAGAAACACTGAAAAGTCACCACAGTTATTTTAGCCACAGTCTGCTTGAAAGACTCTTACTTCCTTAATGTGTTTTGGATGCAGCCTTGCCTTAGCAAACTCTAGGAAAGGAGTCCAGTAGTGTAACAACCATCATAACTGTTCTTCATAGCCTTAGGTTTCTAAACATCCCAAACTAAAACAACCTATACCTTTGCAAACCATTTCTGTAGTGATGGGGTACATGTTCTCCGGTGAACAGCTAAAGTGTTTCTTGCTGCCAGCAAAAGAAAAACTATTCTTAAAACTATTGTACCCATATTATGAACATTATATATAATTTCTCTAATTCTCTGAACCTGAAAAATCCTCATGCGCATAGAAGTACAAACAACTAGTTAGGATTACCTCAATATATTTTAATTAATCATCAAAGGCCATGTAAGCACACACATAGGTTCTGAAAATATAATTTATACCAATCAAAAAAGTATCAAATACCCACCTGTTCTGACACAGTTTATTTCTCTTGGTAGCCACAGGCTGAGGCCAGACAACATGTGCAATTCCCACACTAATTGGCTGAGTGGCAGACAAAGTTATTTGATTGGTTAATAAAGGCTGTGGGATTACTGAATTATAATGGTTGCCATGAGTAATCACTTTCCTAGGGAGAGATAAGGGGAGTTATTAGTTGGCAACTGTTTCAATTAGATCCACATTCTTCGTTACACGTAAAAGCACAAAAGGTGCTCTACAAAAAAGTCTGAACTTACCCCCAGTCTCCAAGCCTTTGTGGACCAGCCACAGGATCAGAGGCTAGAGCTGTAGTAGAAGCAGCCACAGAAGCTACCTGTTGCCAAGCTGGAACCAATATTTGCTGAGTTCGATTAGACCACGTCTGCTGTGAAACAAAGCAGATTTCTTTAAGTAGCAAATAGTCTGTATTGGCTTTAACTACTTGAAACTCAGCAAAAGCACAAAAAAGTGATTACAACAGAAAACTTAAAGAACATAGTAAAAGCAGACTTTTTTGGATACAGGGCGTCTTAAAGTTCAGTAATATAAAATTTATGATTGTTATCATTAACATTTACAATTCCATATCAACTTACCTGAGAAAGGATTCCTGCTCGTATCTGTAAGGGCTGAATTGCAGGTGCCTGTGTTACCAAAGGAACAGCATTATCTACCCTTACTGAGAAGCTAGTGGGTTTGCCATGGTTTCTAGGAATTCCTAGTAGGAAGGAAAAAAACAAACGAATCATACAAGCTTCATACAAAACATTACTATGAAGAAATTTCTGAGAATCCTGCAAACACAGAAAATAATTTTGCAAGATTTAACTAATTTTTCTAAATGCTTATAAATTTAATTACGCTAATGACTTTTAAGCCTTTCAAACTAGATTTATCAATCTTATACATCTTAAAAGGAGGTTTCAACTACATTATACTAGTATGTGTGTAAAAGACCGCACAACAACTACTCTGAAAACATATATGATTAAAAAAGAGCCAGCAATATTTTATCTTTGGAAAATAAATTTACACTAGAAGCTTTCTTCCATGCTAAGTTTTTTAGTGATTTACTGAATTAATTCATAAAACTACCCTGTTTGCAGGACAACAAACAAAACAGGAGGGCCATTAGCTTACTTCACCATCTTCTACCAGGACTCCCACAGATCCTAATAGTCTCTCTCACATCCTACTTATTAGTTTTAGGTACAATGTTCCTATTAGATCCCCTACCTCCTAGGTAACACCACTCTCTTTAAGGAACCCATATACATGCAGCACCTTTTTCCTTCTTCAGTAAGGATCTAGTAATGGATTTCCTCTGTATTCCATAAAATCTTTGAGGGGAGCTCATCCCGGCCACTGTACATCATACTCTGAACTGCTGCACACCCAGAATATTACAGGAAAAGCAGTCTAGAAAATACATATATTTTAATGCTTCATGGAAACCTTTTAATCCCTGCTGGTGTGTCATCCGGGTCAAACAAGCAAAGTATGCACTAAAATGCTTTAATATTTATTATAATCAATTCTATGACTTCCCAATGGGAGATGGTTTATTTTTTAAGACAATGGTCTAATAGAACAGTTATTTTTTTGCAGTAGGCTCTTCTGCCAAAGGGAATATATTCATTTTGACTTCGGGTCTCACCTTTTATGCGTCTCACATTGCAGCTGATTGCTAAGTGATACATATATAGATGTTAGGGAATGATTGCCTAAGATTAAGAGTTTATTAAATCATTAAGAGCTTCTTTTTTATTCTTCATTTCTATCCACTGACATTATACTTTTTAACAAGCCATCTTGCTATTCCAAGTTCTATGTATTTGGTCAAAGGCTTGGAATTTAAAAAGCATCAATGAGCAATTTTTTCCATGCAGCCATCTACAGCAGCAGCAGCACCTTAACTCTGCCAAAAGCAGCAAGACTTAACACTTAGGATATTCTACAGAACAGCAAAGTAGGGAATGCTGTACCAGTGCCAAATAGCATTAAAATCCCTCTCCTGTCACCCATATGTGATGAAATCAGTATACTCCACTCTATTCAAGCTGTGCCTAAATCAGGACCTAAGTTTGGCAGTTAAGTGCCCTAGAGATTACAAAGATGACTTTTCCTGTCCTCATCCTTTTTCAAAAATCACTTTATTAACTCAGGTATTACTAAAAAGAGTAATATGCATATTTAAGAAAAAATAAATGTAGACTACCTTCGCAAAGCATGCGTAGGTTCCCATAAACAGGGTCCCATGTTTGTCCTATAAAAGGGGATTGCTTACCTATAATTAGTACACTCAGAAGGAAATAAGCTATACATTTGGCACTCATGGTCTAAAATACATTGTACTGTGAGTATCAAAGCTTTCAGAAATCTCTGGAACTCAATATGGAAGGGCTAGAATAATGTAGGCAGATAGAATAATGCTAATGATAAAACCTGCTGGCTCTGTCTCTAATAAAGGTCAAGAGTTCTTGGGCTCTTATGTAAAGGAGTTCCACAGCCTGCATTTACCAGGATCCCTATGACTTTGAAATGATGAGAGAACTACAGAGGACTTCAAAAATCTTTTTTCTAACACCCATGGCACATGTATTCCAGACATGGTGGCACTGCAACCTTTTCAGAGAAAGTAGATAAAAGAACAGAACCAAATTTAAACCCAAGAAGTAAAGACCACCCAAACTACCTTTTCTTCTTCATATTGGTAGTTATTTGACATTAGAAATTGTTCTTCAAATTAATAGGTTGACTTTAAACAACACAAAATACAAAAGCAAACAGTTTATTCTACAGATACCAACTCTTAGACTAAAGATACTTGATAAAAACTTATCAACAGTAAAATCTGTGTTGGCATGATGCATTTGTTTGTTCAGAGAAACTACGCTCAATCTGTTTTATGTGTTTACAAAAGTGTTCATTATGATGGCATATGACCATTTTTCTAGACTAATACTAAAATATACTAAAAGTATTTTCTCATCAATTTTTTTTTAATGATTTCATATCATTATTTAGGAAATTCAATCAGTGGATCTTCAAAAACTGTATCCAGCTTTATCATATTACCTATACATTTCTCTAATTTTATTCAAAATATTCCCTGCCATGCCTTGGCTTTCCATATCAAAGCATCTTCATTAGTGATATTAAAATAAAAGCTTCTGGTTTCCCAGACTCATCATTTTTATTATAAACTCTTAGTTTTGTAAGCAAGACTACATTTAGTTACAAGTGGGTTTCAGATTATTAAGAAACTGAGTTTTCAACATCAGAATTATAGTCCCTCAAAGATAGTTTATAAGCAGAAATACTGACAAATTAATCAATAATAGAGCCTATATTTAATCATTCAAAAAATTAAACTCTGTGAATTAATCATACCTTGGATAGCTGGGGGACATATAATCAGTGTCTGATGAAAAGCATCATTGCAACCAAATTGAGCAGTTCCTGCCTGCAGTGGTATTCCGTGGTGCAAAACTGAATGAGCAGATGCAGTTAATGCCTGTAAGAGATTCAGCATGGCTAATCAGTTTACATTAGTAAATGTTCCAGTATTTTCTCTTGTGCACATACATACAGCTACAGGAAATAATAATTAATAATTAAAGTTTCAAAACATTTCAGAGTGCGGAAAACCATGGGACCGCTAGAGGGCACTACTGTACAAACAAAGTGCTTTCACAATGACAAGTCAAAACTTTCTAGCTTTAATTCTGGATAATATCAAGTTTAAACAAATTGAACAAAACAACATTAGAAAGAGAGAACCAAAGATATTTTGCTACTAGTGTCAAATGCAGTGATTTCTAAATTGTCTCCGAAATCAAAACAAAATACTAACGCAACAGACTGAATAGCCAAATGTTTTACCTGACTCCTTACTGGGCAAATTTTGGTGAAGTTTGCAGTCAGATTTGCTGCACTGCATGAGGCAACTGGTCTCATAAGTGATGACTTATTGCGATTATTTATGTCATATGAATTTGATCTGCATTTGCACACATCCATGATATGAAAACATGACTTCACTCTGTTAAAGGAGAGAAAAGTTTTAAGTTGTTTTGACTAAAATTTCTTCTTATAAAAATAAAAATTAACTAAACAGCAAAAGAAAACATGGTTTCTGAAAACAAAATCATAAAGGGGACAGTACACAAATAAAATCAGAGGTGTATCGCCTTTCTGAAATAACAGAACTATTACAATCAAGTGACAAACTTAATAAATGTATACAGTTTACTATTGAGAAAGAAATGGCAACTATTACAACTAGGACTGTCAAACAATTAAAAAATGTGATTGCAATTAGTTGCACGATTAAAAAAAATAGTATCAATCACAATTTTAATTGCACAGCTAAAAACAAAATTATGCGCAGAAAAACTCAAAGTTATGCAAAATTATGTAGGTACTTTGTATGCCGGGGGGGGGGTTGGAGCCCAGGTAGGGTGGTTCCCTCATAGCCTGGCAGGATGTGGGATACTGTGGGTTAGGAGTGAGGGGCAGCAGCAGGGCTAGGGGAGTTGTGGCTTGGGAGTGACAGACAGACAGACACCCCCCCCAGCAAGTAAGTCTGTGGAGGGAAGATCGAGGCCCTCAGTGAGGGAGGGAAAGGGGCAGTTAATGAGAACAATGATTAATGCGTTAATCACAATTAAGTGACAACCCTAATTATAACTGCTATAAAGAGAGGGTGTAAATGGATGAAAAGTTCTTTCCTTTAAACTTCTGTGTATTTGTTGTTTCAACAACCTTTATCCAAACATCTAATTTCCGCTATTGGAAAAACAGTATTTCCAATAAGCTAACATGTAAAAAGAAAAGCTCTGAACTAGGATTCAATCTTTTGAAGCACTTCCCCACTTCATTTCTCATGGAACGAGAAGAAATGATGGTATTTAGTGCACTACAGACTCAAGCCTTAAGACTGAAAACTACCATGGGCATTGGAAGGGGGAGGGGGAAGAAGGGGGAGCTGTGTTATAAGCACCTAAAGCAGGAATTGGCAACCACAGGCCAAATCCAGCCTGCAATGGGAGTGGATCCAGCCCCAAAAAGGTGTGACCCAGTCTGCATTTTACTAAGGGTGTTCCAATTCCCTAACCATCTGATCCAGCCTGCCTTTTACTAATGGTGTGCCAACTGCCTCCAGCTGTTCTAGCCAGCTGCTCCACCTCATATGGAGGGCTGCTCTTCTTCTCTGCACCCTCCCTCACTAGAGCAGCTGGAGGGGAATGGTGACCCACAGTGCAGCTAAGTTGGCAGCCAGAGCCCTACATTTGCAAAACGTTGATGACCCCTTATCTAACACACAAAGTCTCAGAATACAATACTCTAAATTTAAAACAGAAATATTCACAGAAATAACTTTACAAGCAGTTTCTGCCACCAAACAACAAATAAACTACATCTATTATGCATAACATGCTTTTTTATGAAGGCTATAAAAATTTAACATACGTAATCAAATATTCAATGATTTCAGTACAAATTAAAAAACGAGTCAAAAGTCATTATTATACACATGAATTTAATTTAGAAGACAAATGTAATACTAATTTTTAAATGTAATTTATACAACATACTGGTTGCTATGAGGAAAATCTAGGAGGTGCTTCATGGTAACAAAGGGATGGTTCAATGTCTCAGCTGGAGTGATTCTTAAATCAGCGTCAATCAGCAACATTTTCTTCAACAGACTGACAAATTCTCTTCTATCTGCCTTCTCTGCCAACAGATCACTTCCTTCCAAATCCATCATCGTGTTCACCTGGTATGGAGTAAAAAAAAAGAGTCAGATAAAAATGTTTCTTCCAGTGTAAAGGATAAAGAATTGTTGGGTTGAAAAAAAAAAGGGCAAATTGGAACACTGGGAATTTGCTAACTTGACCAAACTTGCCTGGCTGGGGACAAATGAACACTTTTGGCTTAACCATATAAAACAGGGGTAGGCAACCTTTCCTGGCTGCAGGCCAGAATGATCTGCCCTTGGGATCCTGCTACTGCCACCACATGTCCTTGTAGCAGTACGTGGAGAGCACCCTCATCTGGAGCTTGTCCCTAACACAGAAGACGCGTCTGCAGCCAGGGCTTGCCACCAAATACCACCCAAGCCCTACACCTGCAAGCTGCATCTAATGATTCTGCAGGGTCACAAGTTGCAGACCCCTGACATAAATAACACCTCTGCACCCACAACCTGCCTAACAGCTCCTATTAGCCTTATACCATTCAACTGCTCCAAATCTGGAATTTGGAATTTAAGCAGTATGATGGTCAGGTGGGAAAAAAAAAGACAAAAAAAAATAAAAATCACTCATTGTTATTTTCTGGTCCTTAATCTGCCTCAAATAAAACAGTGCTCTGGAACAGAATGACTACAGTTGCTCCTCAATAAGAATATTATTAGGAAACACTTCTACCTAAGATCAAAGACCTTCTGTGATTCCTTCTGTTTCCAAACCACTAGAACAGAGGTATCAAACCATATGGCCACAGGCCAGATCCAGCCTATGAAGCCATGCCATATACTCTCCTCCCGCTCCCCCAGTGATGCTCCTGTGCCTGATCCCCTTTTCCTAATTAGCCAGCATACCTAATCTAGTGGCTATGTGCAGCACAGATCCCGAAGTGGCCAGAATGAGCACCATGTGCAGCAGAGTAGGGTCAGAGTGGCAGGTGCGCTGCACACAACGGCGGACCCAGCCAGACTGCACCACATGCAGTGCTTGCTCTAGGAGACATGCCACACCTGGCATCTGCTTCAGCTGGTCTTGGACCTGCACTGCACACAGCACGTGCAAGCCCCATGCACAGCACAGGTCCTGGACTGGCTGACTCGGGCGCTATATGTGGAGCCACCATGTGTAGTGTGGCTGCCCCTCCGGCCCTACTGCACCACATGGCCCCAATTCTGGTCATTTTGGGATCTGCACCAGGTCCCAAATCAGCTGGAGCAGCCACTGGATCAAGTATGCTTGGGAACAGGAAGGATGTCCATGGGCCATATCTGGCCTGCACATCAGCTCCATGCCATGCCCATGTGGGTCTGATCAGACCCAGGGCAGCACTGGGGCCAGACTGTGGGGCTCTGTGGGCCGGATCTGACTGCACCAGAACCTGTATTGCATGCAGTCCACAGGACTAGACAAGTTTGACACCACTGCACTAGAAAAAGAGTAGAAAGATGATTGATGCTGGTTGTAGCTCAGAGCTAAGAACTAGATTTTGCTATACTATGAAAAATGAGGGGAAAACCGACCTAAACAAATGGACTACCATCCTACTCCAAGCCCTTTTAATGCAATTAATTTTGCCCTATAGACAGAAAGTGCTGAATAAATACTAAGCATTATCTATTTTTTTCAAAATTATAAAGCTAATGCCTAAACTCAAGCCTGAACTGAATCTGTTTAGAGACACCAGCCTTGAAAATGGAATTAAATTTGGTGTTTTTTCCTTCCTGAAAAGTATAAGAAATTCCTTTCTATTAGTAAACCAAGTCATATAAAGCAGTGAAAGGAAGGGATACAGTTAGGGACAAAAGGGCATAGGAAGCTGCCACTATTTCCTGAAAAGGAATGAAGAGAGATAATATTGCCTATAGATAGAACCCAGGCTTAACAATAATTTTATCTAGACTGGTAACAGGCAAGATGTTACAGTAAAATAGGGAAATTATATGCTGCATACAGTATAACATCTTTCCTTCAGAACATATACGACTACACAGCACTCACTGAGTAACAAAGACAGACAACATCTTTGTATTCAAGAAACAGACACACGCAAATGAATAGCTTCTCCAGGAGCAAAGCAGGCAGGTGTGGATGGATGGATAATATTCTCAAATCGCCTTCTAATATACAAAAGCTATCTGATAAAAGTTTTAAAATGAGTCACCAGACAGTTCTCGGCTGTATCATTTGCAAAGGAACAATACCAGAATACTCACATGCACTATATCATCCAAACTGTTGAAAATATACTTTCTGGCCTCTTTAGACTTCATTCCCGTCTCTGCCTCATGTTCTTCCAGTGTCTCAAAAAGGAAGAAAACCAAACAGCTTATACCAATCTGTTAACTAAAGGGATACTTTCAGGTATAAATTATTTTAAAGTATTTACTGTGTTAATAAGCACAGTCTATAAAATTAAAATGGGTGAATGCTAATTGGAAACTTAATTTGTTTTCATGCTCTTTGCTTACTTTTCGTATTTCAGTCAGTTTGGACAATGAAAATAAACTAGCCAATTTTGCTTTCCAGCTCTCCCAAATTACCATCATTCTGCACTGTGATATATGGTTTTGCAAATAACGTGGGAAGTGCTTAAAGCCTAGCAAAAAGCCATTTGATGGAAAATTTTCTGTGATGACATATTTCGCAGATAAAAGGTTTTCTATTTGTTCATAGTTTACATACATGCATGCACACACCCTGCTACCTTTTGGAATGAAAAATTAGGTGACAAGGGGTGCATCTACATGTTCATTAACGCACAGTAGTTACTGCACAATTAGTTTAGTACTCACTTAATGAAGTACAAACTGCAGTTACTGTGCAGTAGCGCTAGCGCACAATTTTTTTAGTGACACTTAACTGCACAGCCTAATACTGCTGTACAGTAGCATATTAGCACAGTTTTTGGCCAGCACACTCCTGCACAGTGTTATTAGGTTACTGTGCATTAAGTGCCTTGTGTAGACGTGCCCAGGCTCACGTTAAAAAGGCAGAAACAGAATCATGCTCCATTCAACTGCTTTCCCCTTACAGTTTTTTAATGCATTTTACTGGTTCACAAATATAGTGAACTTTGTACAAGTATCTGGAATATGAAATCATCATATAAACAACAAACAAAACTTAAAGGATGAGTACAGAGTGTGACAGGATCACAATGACATTAAATTCCTGAAACCTCACTTTTTGTTTTTTAAAGTAATAATTCCTCCCAAATAACACACAAAACAAAACACTACCCTGGCTCCCACCCATGATCTCCTGGAACATTACTTCTAGCAAGACCTGTAAAAGAAAATCACCACCCATATCTGGTGTAAATTATAGGAAAGTTTCCTGATCATTCCGTCTAATCTAAGCTCAGAATATTTCATTCCAAATGGATTGGCTAGGATCGAGTCTTCCTTCCTCCCTCTGTTTAGTTTGATATGACAGGTTTAGAAAAGTACATCTGCAGTGAGTGGCAAAAGGGGACCCATCTTCTGCCCATCAAAAATACATTTTTAGCTGTGTTAAAAGATCATGTTCAGATTCTCTCTTACTGAAAGGCAGGATGGAAGTTAATATGGAATTTTTCAATGTATGAAAAACTGGAAACCTGGAATAACTGCAATTAAACAATTATAAAATTCTAATGTTATTCTGAGCCCCAAAAGGCACAGATTTGTGGACAGTTCCAATAATAGTACACCCCATCAGTGGTCTTTGCTATGTCTTCTAAATATACTAAGCTACATATACCAAATGATTTATTATGGAGAACTGGAATTATACATAATCAGTGCATCAGGAATTTAATTCTACATGTAACTGTATCTTTGTGCACATCTCCTAAGCCTTTCTGAATCCCTCCCAGAGGTAACAGGCAATTCATTTTTTTTCCATAGGAAAAAAACTGAACTCCTATTTAGACCAAACGGGCCTAAGAAAATATACCGTATTTTCACAAATTCAGCATGCCCCCAGATAAGAAACACATGTTTTTGAAAGGCAAAATGAAGAAAAAAAAATCTTTCCTTAAAAATACTGGTAAGTAGCATTAAATAACTTAATTACAGCAACTGGGAGCCCGGCATGCTCATTATGCTGCCCCCTGTGGAGCACATGGAGTGGCACTTTTGCCACCTGCCAAACTCCCCCAGAGCTTGATATTGCAGGGAAAAAAAGCTGTTACCATATTGTCTTGTGTATAACATGCACCCCACTTTCCAGCAGCTGGTGTTTGGGGGAGAGGTGTGCACTGTATGCAGTAAAACAGGGTAGGCCATTCTCCTTCAGTATTACCAATTAGTGAATGAAGTGCAGATATTGTAAATAAGCAAGCTTTTGGCTTCCTTTTGCGCATATATTCTGATATAATTTTTAATGATCATGAGACATTTATTCTAATGTATAAGACTTTTTACCTTTAACCTCCATCCCGAATATGGTGCATCTGTTTCTCTACAGAAGAATCTTGTAGTTTTCGTTCCCACATTTAACAATTGTTCTCCCGGCAAACCTTGAGTCTGTGAAATGTAACGAATCTGGAAGAAGAAAAAGGGCAAGGAATGAAACTTAGTTCTGGTTTTCAAATCATGATCTACATATTATATATATAATAAACCTATGCTTTGTCATTTCACACAATAAAATCCCACAGAGAATGAAAAAGGACAAACATCTACAAAGGAGAGAAACATCAATTCAACAGCTTTGTTCTACTCGCTCTATTTGCAATAAAAACTATGCAGAGCCAAGCAGCTGAACTAGTATTGACGAACACACACATAATTGTGGTCACAGAACAATTATTTTCTTGCGTTACTTACTGGCTTGAAACTACTACAACCATGACTTCATACACATAGAACACACTCATTAGGGCACTCCCTTCCCACTTACTCGTAACTTTTTCAAGACCCATACTGGAACCTTGCAGATGACCTTGGAGAAGTTCAGAGGCAACCTGACAAAAGTATTTCATTTTTTCCCTCTGATTAACATAAGTAGGCAATTAATGGTTACTGTTCTTTTGATATTTTGAAACAAAGTAATACACAGTGATTCAGCATAGGGAAGTATATGTAAGCACTGATGATTTATACCAGTGCTTAATGATGATACTATACATATCCATTGCTGGAAGATGATTCAATCTTCTGTTTCATGTTTTCTCCCCAACAAAATTATGATAGCCATTTTGCATACCATATGACTTGCTGACCCTTTTCTGTTTTATGGGCATTACCCCCAACACTGAGAAGATTTCATTTGGATAGTTATATTTCATGCACCTTAAGCTGTCCTTGTATTTTCAACTAGGTACAGTATTCTTTGGAAGATTTTATTTCCTGTATCGATGGCTGTTAAACAGTCATTATCTGTTTCATTCCAAAGATGACTGGAATACAGCTGTGGGTGCAATTTCTGGTTACTATTTTTAAAGTGCTCTGGAACCCTTCACAATATAGAGCCAGATCCTACATCTGCTGAGGACAATGGGACTATTTCTGACTTCAACAAGTACTGAACAGGTCCACAACTCAAAATATAAACATATTGCCATTTCCTCTAAAGCAGCAGGTGTAGAGGAGATAATGGGTGCTGTTTATATATTAACATTTGCTTTTAAAAAAACAACACTTAAATCGGGCCATGATTATGTTATCACGCATTTTTACAATTCTCTGTTGAGTGCTACAATAAAAAAAAAGTCTGGGCAAAAGAAATAATTTTAAAAGGTCAGAGGTTTGACCTAAATCCTTCAATAAGACAAAGTAACCAAGTTAAAATAATATTTTTGCTTTAACTTGCTTTGTTGTGCATGAGTGTCATAGGGATCTGAGAACAGTACACGACAGCAAATATCACACGAACAAAAGACAGAGTCTTCTCTTTACGTTTCCTCTCTTCTAATTCTTTACTTAAGAACCCCTGTATCCTATCCTTAAGCCAACAGGAACACAGATAAAGTTCTTCAGGTTAAAAACTACAGACATCAAAATTACAAACTGCCCATTAAATAGACTTTGCTTTATAGAAACAGAGTCTCAATGTTTTTTTATTTACATGAATATAGCAGAAAATCTGCCAGACATCCCTGAGACACTGCAATGGTTTGATGTTCGCAGCAGTGAAGTGCTGGAATTAATTTCCATTAACACAGTTCTGTGAAACCAAGTCTCTTATATCAGTAGACAAATCCCCCTTGCAGAAGGATTCTTCAGTTCTTATTGTATAATGTTGCAAACAAACAATATTTACAGTAGCAGTAGGATCTAGAAGAGATTGGAGGGAGGAGAGGGGGGAG